AGAGCGAAGTGAAGGGCTATGTCATGGAGGCCGGGCATAGCGGCCTTGGGCTATTTGGGGGATTCTCAGGTTCGTGGGCCCATATTTTGTCTTTGTTCCAACAGCATGTAACAGGCCTACATATAGGCGGGGGACCACACCGGATTTCGGAGCACTGAAGCGATCAGGATATCTCGTCCAGGATACAAATCAAGTTCTCCCGTCTTTTGAGGTTCGGCTTCCCACCAAGCGACGTGCTAATCGGACCACTCCCTTCGCCGTTGAAATCCGCTGCCATCACTGGCCGTGATCTACTGCAGGCGAAACGCCAAAGCCCTACAGGCCGCTAAAGACCCCTAACGGCCCTGAAGCTTCAGCTGGCTTTCAGTCCACTCCCCAGGTGGGTGCCAAACCGATCGACAACCTGAAGGAGTGCCACGGCAGAAGACAGTTACCCTAGGCCCTAGAATTGCTCATTGATGCCTAGGGTAAGTGGGCTGTTTCTTTTGGCTGCCTTGATGGCTTTGTGTCTCTAAAATTCTCGGACGCAGCCCAGCTACGAGTGCTCCCAACACAACACAGCATCTGTGCGGGAAGACTCACATGTTAGTTGAGTTTCAGCCATCCACGGCAACCCTAAGTCCCGAAGCCCCAGACTTATTCCCGCCCCAGAAGCCATCCAAAACCGGAGCCCACGACCTGACCTGGAAGCCCTGCCTAGAGTCCTAGAGAGCTTGGAAGACCTCTCCGGGAGCCAAGGTGCCTGGAGGGCTGCCATCTGGTGCTGATCCCTGCTGGCATGCCAAGGACCGCTTGGGGTGCAGAAAGAGCGGAGAGTGCGTTTTGGGGGGGGGGGGGGGGGGCGTTGGGCGAATGGATCTCGTTGTCGGTGTGTTGATGTGGGCTTTTGTGAATCCGTAGCCCCTGAGAGAGTCCAGGTTGTCGGCTGAGAGAGCTCATGGTTGAAGTCATACGTTTTTTTCAGGAAGCAGCCAAAGTTGCACAGAGACGTAAGCTGACAGTCTGATGAAAGAAGCGTTTCTGTTACCAGCCAGTATGTTGGGATTCGCTACAATCCTACCGGGTCCTACCTACTTGGTAATCTCTTCCAAGAGGAGTCAACAGCAAGCACTTGACATGCAAGCCTACCGACCTGAAACATGTTCTGCAGAGACCGGCCCTGGTCATTGTCCAACCGGTTTGGGTCGAGCGGCTACTAGCGGGCCTTGAGGCTGCTCAGAGCAAGGTTTGCTGTGGTATTCAAGTAGTTGGACCACCGTGCTAGACGGGCGTAAACATCGCGTTCGTGCTCGTGACTGGTCATTCCTGAAGCTCTGCATCTTTCGTTCTAATTACTGTAAGCCGTGAACGGTAAACGACCGCATCTTGAGCGACACTTGCGCTGATATGTCCCGAAACATTTCTTAAACCATTGTAAATGACAGCGTAAAGTGCCTGTGTGCTCTCACTCGTGCCGTGCCATGTACCTGAACCATCACGGTTGCCCATGCGCCAAGTAGTTGCAGAGCATATGCTGCATCTGGATAGATGCCTTAATCCGACAAAGCATCCGAGGGGAGGAGATGGGAGGAGGGGCCCCCCACGAGTTGCCAGGAAGCCCGGAATGACCCGCGATGACCTGTTCAAGGCCCACTCCTCGGCTTGGAAGCACTACTCGAAAACAGTCAAGAGGCATAGAGCTTTTTTGGAAATTCCCAGGGCCAACAACGAAAGTGATTGTTGGGGCAGGGGCCGCCCATGCAGGTTCGTAGGCATGACAGTTCCCACTCTTGGGATTCTCGGTAGATGTCAGGAGGCCAGAGAGGCCCGAGGTTGACTCGCCTGTAAAAACCTCCTAGCCTAAACTTACACCTACATGCAAGCTAAGCTGTAAGTCTACATGCCTCCCATCCGCAGCTTTGCCCTTCATCATCCTCCCAGTTTCGGGTTGGTTGCCTTTGAGGCGCAAGTCCCAGTCTAGCCGATTCAGAAAGTTGCACAGATCGGCCTACGCCAATTCCGAAAGGTTGTTCTTGCCTTTCACGAACATGTGAAGTTGTGCAATCAGGCATGATAAGGCGTTCCGGGGAAGGAGGGGGGAGGGCCCTAAAGCCATCAATCATATAGGGTGGATGTGGGCAATTTGGGGAGGGTTTCGGAGTTTCGAGTTCAGGGCTTACTAAACTGGAGCGCATTGATGTCGGCGAGGTGAACGCGGACATTGCCAAGGGCATCGTTGAAGCCTGTGCAAAGTTCTGCAGGGACCCTGTCAGGTTTCGGAATGTAGCTTTGCCCAAGCTTCTTGGATTCTTGGCTTTTGGGCATGCCTCCAAAGTTTCGAAGCGTGGGTCCAAAAGCCCCCAGTCGGCTCCAGAAGGAGATCCAAGGGCTCTTTGGGAGATTCAGGATTGAGGATCTGGGAGCCCTGGAAGTCAAGGTCCCGAGGCCATGTTGGGTATGGTCGTGAACCCCGTGAACTCGATCGTGCACGGCGCCCAGACTCGGGAAAGAGGGCTGGCTTTTCGTCAGCATCTGGGGGCGACTTCAGCGGCTCCATTTCTCTCGTCTTTTCCGGCCATGAGTATGCATGAAGTCTTCGAAGCAAAGCCCTGCAATCCCGAGATTTGGGGCCGGGGGGGGGGGGGGGTGGTGTTTCACAGGGCGGGGATGGCTTGACAAATAGAAGAGCCAGCAGAAGTCTGAGACTTTCAATTGTTGAAACAAGTTCCCTGAACGACTCTGTGCTTATCTGTCGAGGTCTGAGACGCTCTTAAGAAGCCCCCTCCTTAAATTTGCCACGTTTGCACAAGGCCCGCCATGGCTGAGCTGTACAAGAAGAAAGGCGCATCTTTTCACGGGCGGGTTTCAGTGTACATAGAGTCCGGGTTCATGCGCTTCATATCTTCATATCTTCATATGGCTTTGGTTTTCTAGCTTTTCTGTGGGGGCTGTCACTTTTTGGAAGCCTTAAACCCGGTCCCAAAGCCCCCCGGCCAATGACCCGAAGTCTCTCAAAAGCCTCACAGAAGGTACACGCCTTTCGAATGCAGGGAATGTGATGGGAGGTTTTTCGGGCTGTGTTCTCTCAAACGGTTCGGAGCTTGCTGCTTCCAGTCTAGTTTGCAAGGTCTTCCATGAGCGACTCGCGTACTCTTATTGCCTGGCAGCCTCAAACTGAACTCGAAATCCTAAGCTCCAAAACCTGAGTCTGCCAAACCCGACTGAGTTCTAAACCAAGGCCCTGAAACCCGAGACCTCGAAAACGCTGGGGGACTCTCGGAGACAGCTTTGCAAAGGCCTGGATCCATTGAAGATCGTTGGCATCACAACCCTGGACGTGGTAAGAGCCAACAAGTGCCCTCACCGATCTGTTTGTGAGACTTTTCTTTGGGCTACTTATGTGTGGGGCTTTGGGGGCATGTTTCGGGAGTGAGCCCGGTGGAGTAGTTTTTGCTCGGTTTCGCATAGGACGATATGTCGGTTCTGTAGAACTGTTTGGGCAACTGGGTTTTTTGCAACTCAGGCCCTCCGAGCCTGACGGACCCCAGAAAAGAAACCAACGACCCCTACTGGACAAAGGTCCGAACCACCTAAAGATCCCCGAGCCCAGTTCAAGACGTCAGTGTTTGGAGTTAGTGCGGGCGGGGCGGGAGGGGGGCGGGGCATATCGGGAGCAGACAAAAAGCACCAGCTGCGGACCACACAGGTTCGTCGGCGAGATCGCTGGAAAGAACCCCAACTACATCAGCGCCACGGACCCAGCCCGGCTTTGCGCACGATAAACATCCCGTACACTTGCACACTAAAAATCCCGACACTTGCGCAAAGGCCTGAAAGCCTACACCAGCCACGATCGCTTTAAAATCCCTATGAGCCTCCCCCCCCCCCCCCCATTATACGCCCCTATCCTATAGACCAAAGCACACTGGCCCCTCTGAGTGGCCACTGGCCCCTTCAGCCCCTCTGAACCCATAGTTCTAGCGCACAAAATCCACTTAGGGTGATCAGCCATGGTGGCTGCTTACAGCATCTTGCCGTTGCTCTAACAAACCAAGGTGCCCGTCGTTGGCGGCCACGCTGGCGTCACCATCCTCCCACTTTTCTCGCAGGATAAGGCGGCGAGGGTCGTATCTTCCTGTCATGGCACCAGCGCTCATTGCTTCAGACCTACGAATCTGGACATCGATGCGTACAAGACGTCTTCGGCTTTAGACACAGGCAGCCTTGAACAGGCAAACATTGGCAAGCCTCGCAGCTGTTGAAGACAATTGGAATAGGAGAGGCAAGCGCTGATTTATGTATGTATGTATGTATGTATGTATGTATGTATGTATGTATGTATGTATGTATGTATGTATGTATGTATGTATGTATGTATGTATGTAGATGTGTATGTCATGGAAGCATACGTTAGAGATCACAACCTCAGGAGAAGCACAAGCCCGGCAGAGTTGATTGTGAATTCCCGCAAGACTAGAAAAACCCACAGGGTTTATTGGTTCTGGATTTAGAAGCATGTGCTAAAACTGCGCAGTGTGTCAAGGTTTCCGTTTAGGGGGCTTGCGCTTTGATAGTTATGTCCGGCCTGTGCAGTAGTTTCAGCTCTGTCTCAGACTTAGTTTGATAGACATCCTACTTACTTAACCACACCACCAGATGCCTAGCTCCGAACGAAACGCTTGCTGCAAGTAGCTGTGCGCCGACTCCATACGCTGCCGCTTGTGGCTTGATGAGGCCATGCTCGCAAGAAGGGCATGCTACATGCACGTGGAAGAACTACATTGTGCACGTTTCGCAGTGTTCCAAACCCATGCTAGCTGTTAGCTGCTAATTCGTCACGAGCGGCAGAACCGCGCTAGATCCCGCACCCGAACTACCTCATGAACATGAGTCAGAGCTGTAGATATCCCACTGCGGCTACAATCAGCTACAGTCAGATTCTAGGGTCTTGGGCCTGAGGACGAGAAAGGGTTGTTTAAGTCTAGGTTGCCATATTCCTGCCTACGCTCCCTGGTGGCAGCATGGCAAAGATCAGGATCGGGCAGGGCTGATGTCTGTTTCCCGTATCTAACAGTTGGGCGGTTCGCACTTGGCTCCAATCTCTGCGGGTTTGCGGGCCATCAGACTATCAGGCTGGTTCATGTTTTTTTCATAAAGGATAAAGGGTCGCAGGCATGTGGATGTTGGCATCCTTTAGAAACTATTGGAAGCTTTCCTTGAGTAACATGGCGGCTGACCCAGCTGACAGAGGTCTATGAGGTCTACAGGTTTTCCGACAGCTGCATGTGCACCATAGGCCTCAACATCAAAGAAATCGGCGCAGCCCACCCAAAACAACCGAAGCTAACTCCAAGAACCACAAAAGCCGCTCGAAAACTTCGGCTCCCAGGTTTCTGAGCCTGAACCCCACACTTGCCTCAGCCCCAAAGCCGAAGTTCGGCACGGCGACCAAGACATGAAGAAGCTGCAAGGACACCATATGTGCGTATGCAGCACATATGTACACAGAATGAAATTGATGTGTATATGAATATGCAGATGCATTACTTAAGTACATATGTTTTACATAGTTTTCCGGATAGAATTACTTTCAAGCCTGCTCGTTGCATCATATGAATTAAGCTTGTGATGACCCTAGCATTCCTTAACCATATGTGTGCATGCTGCACAAGAATGCGAAAGGAGTGTCACCCCTGCCTCGTTTCTTTTCTCAATGACCTCCTAATGCCAAATTGGTGTCTCCGGCAGCTTTTCCGCTTTTCGTCCACTCGAAATGCCACCTCCTCCACCCCTCCCCCCCTCCCCCCCGCCCTGCCCCCTCCCTGCCACCCCGACCCCGGCCCAGTATCCACCTCTCGTTTTGTCGGCTCGTCTACATTGCCTCTAGGCTGTGGCGACGCTAGTGTCGCTTGGAAAGCGCTATCAGCTTAGATGAGGTCAGCTAAGAGTCCGAACACCCGACACACTTCTCGCATGGGAAAAGGTGAGTCGAAGATATCGCATGAGGCGTGGTGGCAACAAAATGTCCCAACACCCCGCACATTTATCACATGCCAGCCGGCAAACAAACGATTCGTGCCATGCCCCTCTGTTGCGCAAAGGCTCCAATGACATCCTGCTATAAACCTGCAAGCATTTCAAAAGCCAAGTAAACACGTCTTCTCGTCACAGCGTGACCCGGCTGCAAGCAATAGCGTAAATAAATAGCAGCATGTTCATGACTTCGAACGGAAGAAACCTCTCCAAGCAAGCAGAAAACCGCGTACATCACAGCATGTAAATACCAGCCTGATAAATTAAAGTGGATCCCAGTTGGCAAAGCTGCAGTCGAGACATTGGCTTTTCACTTCCGTACACATCCTCAACTGCACGCATCACCATCATGGACTTGCCCAAGATTGACGCGCAAACCTTTGAACACTAACCTTGAAGCATACGAACAAAAACATGAGGAATGTGTTCTCATCTTGCACACCATCGGCAAACTTTTGATTTGCTGAAGATCACCGGCAAGTTCGCTGGATACCTGTCGCCGTTGGCTGTCTGACTGGGGGGCTACCACGCGTACGCGGTGGGAGGGTATGACCTCGCTGGACAAGCGCTTAATGGAGTTGCATGAAACGAAGGCAGGAATGTGGAAGATCAAGGAGGAGCTGTTCACCTTGCTCGTGAGTGATCTGGACCCACATCTGAGTGCCTTGCCTGATGCTGCACGGCAAATGCAAATTCGGGCAGAGATGAGAGAGACCTTGGGAACGGGACAGGACCTTATTGGGGTCTTCCCGGTAGGGGGTCCCTGGGGGCGTCATACTGCCCTTGACATAAGGTTTCGGCCTTCTCTCGGTGCTCTGCGTTTCTGTCAGCTCGTCAAGCGTGAGCTTCGTGCGGTGCTTCTTCCTGTTTCTGGTAAGGCTTGTTGGGTTCCCCTCTCGCAGGCTGAAATGGGGAAGAAGCGTAAGCGCCAGCAGGATGCTGGCCTTACCTCCACGAAGGGGCGGGGTCGCGAGGACGGCAATGGTAAGGGGGAGTCTTCGCGCAGGCGTCGTTCCCCGCGCCGTGATGCCCGCAGGTGAGGTGACCTGCTTGTTTTCCCGGGGTGTGACTTTTTCCTTGCTGTCTGCCCCCCCTTGATGCTCATGGTGTGTCAAGGCTTTAAAGATGTGTGGCGCCATGCCGCACGTTACACATACCGCTTGTTTTGCTGCCGCATTGCGCAAAGTCCTGCTTGCCTTCTTGCTTCAGATGTCACTCCGGCCCGTGGGGGCAGCTTTCTGGTGCCTGTCCTGTCTGCTCTTCTTTCCTCCCTCCCCCTTTCCTTCGCTGCTTTTCCTTCCTCTCGTCTTTCCTCCCTTCTCTTCCCTTCTCTTCTCTGTTTCTCCTCCCTGTCTTTTTCTCTTCCCCTGAGGCCTTTGTCTTCCGCTAGCTTTCACGTCAGTTGGTACACGCTGTTTCAGTTTTGGAGTTGGACAGGTTGGGAAGGTGGTGGGGTGTTTTCTGTTGTGTCAGGAGCCTGGCGGGTGGTCAGAACTGGCCGAGCATGCCCGACTCCGACTCCGACTCCAAGCAGCGCAGGACATTATCGGTGTCTTCCCGGTAGGGGGTCCCTGGGGGTGCCACACGTCTCTCGACATCAGGTTTCGGCCCTTTCTTGCTGCTCTTCATTTCAGCCAGCTCGTTAAGCGAGAGCTTCGTGCGTTGCTTCTTCCTGTTTCCGGTAAGGCCTGTTGGGTCCCCCTCTCGCAGGCTGAAATGGGGAAGAAGCGTAAGCGTCAGCAGGATGCTGGCCTTACCGCTACGAAGGGGCGGGGTCGCGGGGATGGTAGCGGGCAGGATGAGTCTTCGCGCAGGCATCGTTCCCCGCGCCGCGCCGTGAGGCCCGTAGGTGAGGCGTGACTTTCTCCTCGCTGTCTGCCCCCCTTAAGATGTGTGGCGCCATGCCGCGCTTTGCCTTTGCCGCCGACTCCGACTCCGACTCCAAGCAGCACATGAGACGTGGAAGACAGAGATGGCCCAGATCTTCCGGGCAGAGTTCCTGGTAGGGGTCTTTAGCGTGGGAGGAAAGTTTAGCTCGTCGATATTCGTTTTCGGCCGGGACTGCAAGGGCTCCGTGCCAATTTCTTGGTCAAAGATTGCCTGACCAAGATCTTGAAGGAGATCCCTCAGGCATCATTCGGTGTGCGGGTGTCGCTGTCCGCCCCGGACCCTAAGCGCCGACGCAGACGCGCCAGCGCCCCTGCTGACAAGGAGAGGGAGAGTCGTGCCCGGCGGGATGGAAGTAGGACCGACCGTCGCTAAGCCGTTTGTGTTGCCCATCGTTCTCTGCCGACACTTGGCGATCTCACTGTTTGGGTTTTTTTTGTTCGCTGTTGATGGCAGCGCCGGGAACTCACTAAGTCAAATATCTTCGGCCGTGAATGAGGGTGATTTGTGGGGCGCTTGGAAAGTGCCTGGAGCCCATGTTCTGGTTTTTTTGCCTTTACAGATGCAGACTACTGCACGCGTAGCAGAAATACGATGTTGAACTGCTTCTTCTTTTCTTTTTCTTGCTATTTTTTCTTTCTTCTTTTTTCTCTTCTTTCTTTCTTTCTTTCTTTCTTTCTTTCTTTCTTTCTTTCTTTCTTTCTTTCTTTCTTTCTTTCTTTCTTTCTTTATTTCTCTCTTGCTTTCTTTCTTTCTTGTCCTGCTTTCCTTCTTTCCTTCTTCTTTCTTTCTTTCTTTCTTTCTTTCTTTCTTTCTTTCGTTCTTTCTTTCTTTCTTTCTTTCTTTCTTTCTTTCTTTCTTTCTTTCTTTCTTTCTTTCTTTCTTTCTTTCTTTCTCTCTCTCTCTCTCTCTTTCTTTCTTTCTTTCTTTCTTTCTCTCTCTCTCTCTCTCTCTCTCTCTCTCTCTCTCTCTCTCTCTCTCTCTCTCTCTCTCTCTCTCTCTCTGTTTCAAGTTGATTGGACACTGCAGAGGTCATGTGTGATGGTCTGTGTTCATGTAAGATATGACAGAAATTCAGCAAATGCTGAGCGTGCGCTGGGGGTCTTTGCTGGCCGAAACCGCAGGACGACGAGACAGCGATCGCCGCCAAGCAGATGCAGCTGAGGGCAGACCTTAGGGAGTGTTTGGGGCAGGAGGAGGTTGTGGGGGTTTCCCGGTGGGTGGACCGCTGAGAAGACAGACTCACTTGGACATCCGCTTTAAGCCCTGAATCTCGGCCATGCGCATAGCCCGCCTGGTAAGAAACCGCCTGAGGCCCTTTCTTGCGGAGCGCCAAAGCACTGTTCGGTGTTGGGTTCCCTTGTCCCAGGGTGAGGTTTCAGCGTTTATCTGATAGCATTTGTTCAGAGCATTCCCCAAATCCGCGCACGCTCCCTCGTCTACCCAACATGTCGACAGAGGCGGCAGTAGAGGAGAGACTCAATCGGGTAGAGGACTGCCGGATAAGGTTAAGGGTGGTCCCGGGCTGGAGACAAAGGTTCAGGCTCTTTGTCAAGGCACTCGTGAGTTCTGGCGACTAAAACAGGACTTGGTCGGGGTTCTTTGGAACTACTTGGAGAAGCCCATCTCAGCCTTGCGAGACAAAGCCCGCGCCGACACGATCAAAGCGGAATTCTGCCAAGTCTTCGGGGATGCCTCGGCGGGGGACTTACAGGGGGTCTTTGAGGATGTCAAGATCTTTGATATCAAGTTCAAGCCATCCTGGCTGCCTTGAGCCCCAGCCTCAAAGCCGACCCGGATGGGCCCAGGTTCTGGGCCTGCCTCTCAGCCAGGCCGAAATTTCTCTTTTCTCGTTTCGCCTCTGCCAAGCAGTGCACAATGCGCGTGGCGTGGGCCCCTGCCTAAAGGGATAGGGGTCAATCAAAAATATAAACGGATCAAAAAAAAGGGATCAAAAAAGCAACCCCTAAGCCCTAAACCCCGGCCCTAAACCCTACACCCTAAACTCACGGCTTAGGCCGCCTTGGGGGCTGCGCCGATGGCGCAGCCGACTCGGGACCAGTACTCGTCCTCTGAACAAAGTAAATACCCTAAACACCCCCTGCTCTTCGCGCCCCACGAAGCTCTCGAGCTTGTGCTAAAGCCTAACCTTCACGGCATCTACGCCCTATCACAGCAAGCCCTAAACGTCCAACCCTAAAACCCTCAAACCCTAAAATCTAACAGCCAAAACCCAAAAGCCCTCAAGCCCTAAAACCCTAAAACCCTAAACCCTAAACCCGAAAACGTCGGTTATTTTGTTTTGACCCGGCAACCGCCTAAACGCGTCTTGTGTCAAGTTGTTCGCAACGTCGCTAGTTTGCCCCCCCCCTCCCCCCTCCCCCCCCATGTTTTCCATTTCTCGCTTTTAAGTGCCGGAGGAGGGGGGTTGGTGTGCTTGCCCTGAGACCTGGCTGACTGAGATGAGCCGGAGCGTCTGGCTGGAGTCTTTCATGGTGTGGGAGGGAGCTAGTTGACCTACGTTTTAGACCGGGTTTGCGGGCTCCGCGCTATTTTTTCCGTGAAAGGCTCCCGTTACACCGCAGAAGCCCGACGCCGCCGTAGGCGTGCCGCAAGCGCCCCCGCTGAGAAGGCACCTCTCTCCTCGTGCCAATAGCTACATCACTGCACCTCAGCTCCTCGGAGCCTCCGCGCGGAACCTTGAAAATGGCGTCTGACAGGACCGGGCGCCGTTGGAGCAGTTTGCTGAGCTTGCTGTGGCTGGCGACCGCCTCTCGGCTTCTCGGGGACACCTGGACGTTTGGGGTTCTTTCTGCTTTGACGCAGGCTTGGGCGCTTGCAGCTCAGGTGTTGGGGCTGATGTTGTTTAGGTGCTTCCAAAAAAAGTCCTGAATCCTGAAGCTTGCAAATCCTAGCCCCTAAAGCCCCAACCTCAATTTGATATCAATGCCTGAGCCTTATGATCACAACGACACTTCTGATTTTGAGATGTGTACACCCAGCTGTAATGAATGTAAACGAACTTGTCAGCATTGCGCACCAGGTATTGCTGGCCGGGCTGGGCGCATTGACCTTCACGGCAGGGCCGCGCGGCTTAAAAAATGCCCATGATCGTTTTTTCGTCGAGTCTCGTGTATCTTGTGTGATAAATGCACCGCTTGAAACGCATATTATTTAGCCTAGTGATAGAATGGTTTGTAAGCATAGATGGCCTACATGTTTGATCAGGGTTTCGCAAGCACAAAGAAAGCGCCTCAGAGGGGCAGTTAGAAGAACACAGCGAGCCAAAACAGAAGCTCGTCACACGCCGGGTCCGGCGAAGGGTCCGGCGAAAGGTCCTACCATTGAGGCTTCACAGGGTTCACTCGGTCTTGGTTTTTGTTAGGCACGACGGTTCTGTGAAGAGAGCCACGTACTGTTAGACGACTGTTTGCATGACCACTCCGGCACGTGATCTTGGAGCAGTATATTACCCCCTACGGCTGAATGTGGGTAACTCGGCAGGAAAGGCCAATGTTTTGATCGCCGAACACCATCATTGCGGGCATGTCAATGTCTCCTCTATCAACGCACGTGTCAACACCCCCTTAACACAAAGAACTCCTCAACCCTCTCAGGAGCGGACATCCCCGAAGCCCGAGCGCCCTGCGACATGCCGAGCGCGGCATAGCCAGCAGCGGCATTCAGGAGGGCCTGGACTGAGTTGTTTTGGAAAGGGCTTGAGGAAAAATTGAAAAACCCTGAAACCCTACAGCAAAGGTACGGGCTCGGGAAACCCAAGCAACCCAACCTTCTTCCAAATGCCCGGGAGGGCGAAGACAAGTTCGACGGCATCCTCGACGAGTTGGCGGCCGCGGCTCAAGCAGAGGATGCAGATTCTGAGGTTGCTGGAGGTTTTGAGTGGGTTGACTAGCCGAAGGCTTCATGAGGCCTTTACAGGCGTTCGGAGTCTATGAGGGTTCCGAAGGGTTCCAAAAATGGTTCGAAGATCTGAGGCTTGCAGTCTTGGGGGACGCGACCCCACAGTCTTTACCGGGCAGGGTTGGTTCCTGAACTCCCCGCGCGGTTTTTTATACACAGATACAGAACCCTGATCCCTACGAAACCTACAAAACCTACACAACAACCCGGTTTTTGAATTTCCACTCGGAGGAGGAAGCCCAGGAGCCAGTTGAGGAGCTGGAGGAAGACAGCCGCGTGCTGAGCTTGGGCTGAGCAAAAGAGCTTTTCAAAAGGGCTTGGAGTGGGCTTGGAGGAGCTGGGAGGCGTGGTCGTGTTGTACACATCGATCCCACCATTTGGTTTAGAGCATGCTAGGATATGCCAACACAGCTAGTTCACCGGCACACGAGTGCACCAGTGTGTACATACATGCATTCATGCATAAGCTACCTTGCATTACATGACATTGTATTGTTTACTTTGTACATCACATTGCTACGCCTTACTTTATACATCACACACACATGTGGAGAGAGTGAGAGAGAGAGAGAGAGAGAGAGAGAGAGAGAGCGAGAGAGAAAGAAACCTTGGGATATTGGTTGAAGAGGCCCCCTTCATTGACTCAGGCTGGGCGTGGCTGAAAGAATCCTTTGGCTGGGTTCTGGTCGCTGACGTGTTCATTCTGATCGCGCGGCTCGGAACGAGAAAATGAAGCCGGTATTCCGGTATTCGGGGTGTGCAGATGCAGGGTTGTCGCATCCAGGGCCATCCAAGGGTTGACGGTTTGGAGTCGGGGTGAACTGCCAGCAGCGCTGGGGATTCAGGGGTAAATCTTTCTGACTCCCTTTCCCGATTGTAAATTTTGCCTCAGAGTGCGAGCTGCAGCTGCATGACTTGATTTTGAGCATCACTCCTTATGACAAAACTCCCACTAACAGCTAGCAGGGGCTCGATATGTCATTTAAATCTTGGCACCCTGTCACGTCTTCCCGAAACAGACGCGAATCGTCCTGGCCATGTACATGAATGTCTTAGCGATGAGCGACGTGAAGTGCCTGGCTTCAACAGAGAGTGAATGAATGACGGCAGCAGGCCCCTGCTCAGCCCCTGCTCAGCCCCTGCTCAAGGTTATCGGCTTGGCTGATTGGGGGATGGCTCCTGCGGTGGCTCTTCAACATGGAAGAACCCCTAGGCCGGGTGGGCGGTGGACTAGGGGTTTATGAGTTCGTGCGATTCAAGTGTTGAGGGATGCAGGTACCTTGAGATGGGGCCTGTGCTGTCCTTGCGGAAGGGATTGTGCTGATTGTACTTACGGCTGTAGGCTCCCGTAGAGTTCCCGGCGTTGTGTTGGTCACGTACCCACAACCGCCACACCGTTTATCCTCGGCTCGAACTCCGCCTACAGGCCTTAGGGCTCTGATTTTGGGACGCAGACAGCCACGCCGTGGAAGCAGAACTGATGTCGTAAGAAGGCTAAGGTTTGGAAACGAGATCGAAGCGAACACGCCAGGGTCGTCTGGTCTTTCCGTTGCGCCCGCTTTCGTAAAGCCCGAAAAAGGCATCACAGTCAAAGCTTGGCAACTTGAAGCTGAAAGGTTCGAGCTCTCCAAAACAGCCCTACCAGTAGCCGCTTCTCTACATGTCCCGCGAAAACTCCTTAAAGAAGCCACAGGGTTTCCCAGGCACTTTCCTGCACTACTGGGACCCCTACATCCAGGGTCTCCTCGGCTCCGTGGCTTCAAGTTTTTTTCCTCAATAATTTCTGTTTGAAGCTCAAGAAAAAAGCACAGGACTGTCGCCTTGTCTCAAGGAGGGTGGGTTGGGCCTCGAGGTTCGTCAGGCTCATCTGCAGCAGGCCGACAAGCGGTGGCTGCACTTAGGCGTTGCCGTACTTTTGTCAAAGGCTCGCTGTAAGAGGTTTTAGCAGGATTTAAGGGGTTCATCGTTGTCATTCCTGGGCAGGATGCTCATTGTCAGCACTGTCAGCATTGTCAGCATGTCAGCTCTGTAAAACCTTGTCCACTGAACTTGCAGGCTTCTTTCCGCGCGCAGGGTGCACGATTCTGCATGTGCGTTTGACCGCGCAGGCTTTTAGAAACTTCACTTTCGATTCCTGTCGCTGTTGCCCACACCCTGTCTACGAGGGAGCTTCATCCCAGGCATCTTCTTCGGCGCGCGCCTGAGCGCAAGCCTGTTCCAGTGGATCGCGCGCCTCGGCCTGCATTTGCTGAACTTCTGTGGCGCATGTTTTGCGGCGTGGTTTCAGGGCGGCCTAGGGTTGTCTAGGCTCGTAAGTGGGTGAAGCAATGAAGACGACTTGATGTTGCAGTTGAAGCTGCCACTGTTCTCCAAACTGCAGGCCTTGCGCAGATTAGGAGAAACAATTTGGGGAGGTTTGCTGTTTTTTGTGAAGCTTGCACCGCAGAATTGTGAAGCTTGCGCTGCAGGGGCGGCGTGAGAAGCGACTGAGCCAGCGCAGCGCCGCGGGATGCTTCAGAAGCTTTAGAAGCAGATACCTGCAAGCTACATGCACGCTGGCTTACAAGTAGGTTCACATCGCAAGGGGAGGGTGTGGGCATCGGTCGACTTTCTCGTGCGCTTTTCTGTAGTGTCCTACGCTTCATGCAGCACTACAATCGCCCCAAAACCCGAAACCTGACAGCCCTGCCGTACGTGGGCCGGTCACAGATCAATGTACCGAAAAGGAAACTGAAGCTTCTGACGCATTCCGGTCCTTTGTGCCAGGGGAGGAGTTCCGCCCAACGCTGTGGGCTTTCGTGTTTCGCTGGCTTAGGATATTTTTGAACTATTGGATTCGTGGTTTCGACATTGGGCTTCAAAATCGGGGGGGGGGGGTGCTTTAAGCCGTGGAAGTTGGATCTCAGCGTGAGGATCTAAGTTTCATGTTAGACAGCTCCTGCGCAGACCTGTTGAATTTTCCAGCCCGCTGCGAACGTGCTGCAGGAAAAGTTTGCGGTTTGTGAAGCACTGTCAGGATATGGGTTGAGGCATCCCATTGCTTGCCTCAGCTACAGGACACTGCTTAGCCGTTATTTTTAACCCACGCCGCCGGAAACCCTTGAACCAACTTGAACCATGTGCGGAGCTTCCCATGGTCTTCCGTAAGCTTTCTCCGGACCACAATAGACAAGCTTGCAAGTTCCAACAAGTGTAGCGCGGAAGCTTTGCGAGGGGAGCAGCGACATCATTGATGTCATGGTTGAGGATGTTTAGGTTTAGATAGGGTTTAGGCGCAGTCGGGTTCTAGGCCTGCGGAGGCTTGGGGGTGCAAGAAGGTCTGCTGCGCGCCAGGTGGCGAAGACCATTGCGGCCGACAAGATTCCGGATCTTGACAAGCCCCTCATGCAACATCTTCATATTTTCAATAGGGTTGGACCCGGAACCATTGAAACCTAAATTGGGGCGTGAACTCGAGGCATTGAGACTTCTCAGATATGCAGCGACTGTAAAGTGCATGTTGGAATTTGAGGGTGTGCGCTTCTGGAGGAACGGTGACAAGGGCAGGAACGTTTTAGTTGTGATTTTTTTACTTGTTTTTTGCCTGGGGAGGTCGACTTCTGGAGCAGAATTACTTTTTTAGCAGCGGTTTCAATGGGGATGTTGGGGCTTTCTCAGGTATTGGCTTTTAAGGCGTAACGGTCGGCTTATTGGGGTCTAGCTTGCCCAACCGGTTCTGCTAGGACGTCGGTGTTTACCTGTAGGGTTCACAGGTCTACAAGGAACCCTTCCACCGTTGTAAACAGGGAGTCTTGCTTTGTTTTGTTCTGTTTCTTGGGGTTTGTGGGTTCGGCGTTTTGTGGTTTGGCTTGGAACCTAGCACCCAAGTATCCCCCCTGGTGTATGAGTTCAGATGTGGTAGGGATCTCAAAACCTCGGCACGGCGGAGGAAAGTTTCTAGGAACCAGACCCAAGAGCAGAAGCGGCTCAGGCACGTCCAAGATGTCGGGGGCCTGGAGTGCTTTGAAAGTAAGAGCTTCAGCACCTCCCCCCCACCCCCCCCCCCCCCACCCCCCACCCCACTGCACCCCCCCCCCCCCCCCCCCCCCTTCCAAAAACAAAGAAAGCAAACATAGAACAAAAGCCACGAGAATGCATTATGATACGTGTTGGTATCGGGGTCGACGAGTCCGTACAGAGTTTAATGGTCTTCCGGGCTTCCGGGTCAGACGTGGCCTGGGTGCTTTTTTGCAGAAGTGCGACAGGATAAAAGCAAGAAGGCCGGATCACAGGATTGCAGTTGCATATTGTTCATACAGTCCAAACTCGTACATACCGTGCAAACTCAACACCTTCCGAGTGACACCCTCCCAAAAAGTGAGGCCGGCACCGATGTGGTGAATGCCAAGGCTCATGGCTTTTGGGGATTTCTGGCCGCTGACCTCTACATCTTCCCCCCGCCTTCCCACTCCCCACAGAATAAACCAACCGAAGCCTCTTCCAGCATGCCCATGGGGTCGAAGTGCACTGGACCCTGTCTTCGAACCCTCGAGAGTTGCCAGGCGGGCAAGGGCAGCGCTACGCTGTCCATGGCCTATGCAGGCGTCATTCACAAAGCCCCTCAAGGTTGCTGAATGGCAATAAAGGTCGCAGACAAATAGCTTTCCAGTACTCTGCTGGAGCAGTTCTACAATGGGCTTGGAATTGGGCTCAAAGTCTAGGGTGTGCATGTGGGCCTGGCGCCTAAACAGAGGTCATCCTATTCAGCTCCGCAGTCTTGTGCCTCCAGCCTGAAAGCCCGCCCACGGGCGACGCCCGGTTATCTGGAGCCCTTTGGAGCCTCTGAACATGGCCCAACAGACCCTGAGCCCCAGAACCCGTAGAGTGCCTCAACTGTCCCGAGCCTCTGTTCCATTCATTGGGGTCAAGAGGCGCCCGCTTGGGCAAATCCATCCTTGCCGGCCTGTGAGCTGGCTGCATGGGTGTTCAGCGATATGTTCGGGATAGGATGCTTGTCAAGTTCGAGTTTGGGGTGATGGCGTAGGACTCGGGTCGTCAGCTTGCATCTTGGAAGGCTTTGAGGCCATGTTTGGGCTTGGGTACATGAGCGATGCATGTAATCATGGCATTCAATTTGTTCATCTGCGCCTCCTTTCCTCGATTGGCAACAGCTTGTGTTTTGTGATTGCACAAGGCTGCATGAACACCAGAGCACCTTGAAACCGACGGCAAAGTGTTCGAACTTGTTAAATAATGCATGTTCCACATCCGCTGGTAGGTGTTTGGCCATTATGGCCAGTGTTTAGGGCATTCCACAAATCGACCTCCTGATGTTCAAAGCAGAGATGCGAACCATTTCGCTATCGTCGCCTTCGAATCCGCAAACTCGTTGCGTATTGGAAGAAGACCGTGTCCCCAATCCAGATCTCTCGCTCTCTCCCTCCCTTTGTGGCGAGTCCTGGTTGTCGGCCGTCCTGCCCACAAATACACGGAACCTCCAACAGGGGCATCTTGTTCAGGTCCTTCTGCTGTACAGATGCTTGTGAAGCGAAGCCAACAGTCACGAATGAAATAGCACCCTCCACGGGTCGTTCTTTTCAGTCAGGATGGGCAAGAAACGCACGGAGTGCGCCTACGTCAAATCTGACATCACTGCCGCATGCCCAGCAACGAAGCGTGAACCTCTTGACTTTGACAGAATAGGGGTTTTGCTAGAGGCTCAGTCCAAAACCGAGGTTTGGGGGGTTTGACGGAGGTTCAGGGGACAAGGTTCGGAAGGAAGGTGATGTGGTCCGCGATGACGAAAAGGTGGTTCTCAAATCCTAAGTTCTCTGAAAACAGTAAGAACCCGGCAGTCCTTGGTTTCCAGCACCCGGCTGTTCTGGAAGTTGGAGCGCTGTTTCTGGGGGTCCAGAAGCCTCACAAATCAAGGCCATGCAAGACAAAGAGCTCAGATGGAAGAAGTAACACATTTTGTGATGCCAAGTCACCCAGGATCTGCCGTACTTCGCGTCCAAGGTACAGCGCGGGCCTTACGGTTTAGGGTTTTAGGGACCTGTCAGGGGCAGGCAGAGGGCTCAGGGCTCCCACAAGCTGTAACTAGGGTCTCCAGAAAGGCCCCTGCACGAAGGGGGGCCCGCACGGCACTGCGCTGAGGTTCGGTGAGAAGGGGGTCTCCAAGGCCCACCGCGAGAAGGGGCACTTGTCCAGCTGGGTTCTCCGCAGATCTGGTTTGGGTCTTCCGCCGTTCTAGCGTCACTGAGGGCCTGCAGGGTTTCTTGGGGTTCAGTGCACCTGGAAGCTCAGGTCTATCCATAGATGGGGTAAGTTTACGGAAGCTGTTGCCCCAATCCTAGACTTGCAAACCTTACATCCTGTATGTCTCCTCAACCGTATTATTCATGCCTCAAGTCGATGCCTGACAGGTGCTTCCCCTTGGCGAGCTGAGCGATTATGAGAAGACGCGACTAGAGGAGGTTAAGGCCCGCATTGGCGCTGTCGGTGCTGGTGCTGTCCCCTCTGCGGGCTGTCTTGGAGCTCAGGTCAACCATGCGGAATCACGCAATCGAACCGAGTAGTATAAACGGGCAAAAGATACAGCAGACTAAGTAGTCCATAGTGTGTCGTCATGTACAGAGATCCGGGCCTCCCGAATGGTGCTAACAAAAGAGGAGGTGAGGTTTTTGAGGGATTCATGGGAAGTGTTCGTAAGGTTCCTATTGGAGGCACAATTTAAAGTGCTTCGAGGGGCTTGAGGGTTTATCTGGGGATGTTTTCGGGCCTAGTCCCCTACACCTTCCCCTTGCCGTTCATCCCGAAGCCTGGCCAGACGCAGCTGAAGTCGGAGATCGACAGCGGCCTGAAATATGCAGAGGACAAGCTGTGGCCTACGGCCGAAAGGGCAGATTGAGGGCTTCTGGGGCTTTTTAGGGCTTTAGAAAGCTTAAGGTTTTTGCAGTTTTGGAACTTGAAAGTTAGATTGTTTTTTGTTTCCAAGCTCTTGGAGCTTGGATGGTTCGAGGATGACTTTGCGAAGGCCTTTTGTGGGGGTGGGCTACGCAGTGTGGGATGGCCCTCTACTTAAAGAGTTCCTAGCACCTCAAACCATCAACACTTCAAGCCAAACACCTCCCTGAAGGAGAACAGCCTGGCAGACTGAGGCCCGCTGCCTGGGGCTAAGGCTGCTGCCATGAGACCATAGCTCCTTAGGGGTGTGGAGTGCATGGAGTGAGGGATCGTCCATGGGCCCGTCAAGGGTGAAAAGGCCAGAAAACTCCTGAAAAGGCTTTTCGCGCCGTGAACTGCTGGGAAGGCTTGCTGCATGATATAGGCTCCAGCTTCGAAGCCCAGGAGGTTGCCCCTAAGTAGAGCACGCAGACATGTTTCTCAGTGTGCTGTTGGTTTGCATGCTTACAAAACAGTGACGATGCAGCTCCTCATCGCTTCGCTTCGTCATGTCGGATGCTCTCACCGAACGCGTTCGCAAAGTTGGAGGACATTGTGTCGGACTGGGCAGCAGTCACCCGCACGCGTTGGACAGGCGTGGCTGTGTGGGAGGCCCGTGCCCAAGACCTTCTTGCAAAAAAAGGACCCCTTTGGAAGCTGATGGCTGAGCTGTATGATCTGGCCATCACGGACCTGGACCCTGTACTCTCAACCATGCAAGACATGGGAAACCAGGTACGTTGTAGGGCAGAACTCAGGGAGTGCCTGTCAGCGGTGGAGGATATCGTGGGAATCTTTAATGTGGGGGGTAGCTGGGGTCGCCACACAGCGGTGGACTTACGTTTTTTCGACGGCCCTTCGCATGTCGCAGCTCGTTCGCCACCGTTTGAGAGCCCTTATACCCATCTTGACGGCAGCCCTGTGAAGGTTTGGGCCCCCCTCTCCCAAGGATGGTCCCACTGCGCAACAGTTCGAGGCGGAAAAGCTGGCGACCTCAACTCAGCGTTACGAGAATGGCCGCTCCCTGCTGCAGTTGGCTGGCTCCCACGCCCTTGCCAAGCAGCGCCTACGTGGCCACGCTTCGCTCAGCCGGTTGTGCTGCCGCTGTCCGAGCGAGGGAGGCTCGGCGTCGCAATCGCGCTACTGTTCGGCCCGTGAAATCTACTTGGTGGCAGTCCCAAGCTCGTGAAATGGAGGCAGCTACACTTCGCCGAGACGCTGCGAGGCTGTACGGCGATGTCAGGTAGGTGGTTTTT